GATAGTGATTTTCTATCAAATGAGTGAGCGAATGATTATTTCTATGCATGTATTCCACGAAATATAATTGGATATTTAGAGGCATCGAAAATCAATGAAAAAACTGCATGCTTATTAAATAGTCATTTTTCACAGAGTGCGGTTCTTGCCGGAAAAGATTCGTTTATAAACCGGCAGCCATAGGCTACTGAATTATTATATAATAATGCTTCATGCTGATTTTTTTTACAACCCTACTTAAATGATCTATTCGAACAAAAGCTCATTTTATAATTTCGGCAATTATTTCATGAGTCAGCACACCTAGTGTACCGAGTAGCTGCCGCATAGGGAACGTCAGAGCATAACTGACAAGTCTGACTCTCGCAGATGCTTAAGGGAGCGATGAAAGAATACATGTACTTAAGTTACAAATATGTCAGGCAAATGTGTATACTACTGACTATGGTGTTGTGCAGTTCTGCTGCATTTGCGGGCAAGGACACAGCGTGGTTATCCTGCACATATCAATAGCCTTGAGTCTAAACTATCCTAAGGATTTCGGACAGAGGCTTAAGGAAATTCAGCGTAACAGCTTCCGACAAAGTGAAAGTTGACAGCAATGCGTGTTTATGGTATATTATCCCAAAAGCTGGACACACAGTGATCATTTCCTCTTAAGAAACTTCAAAAAATGAAGCTCTGTCTGAAAGAAGAACGTTCATTTCGTTGAAGCCTGCCCTGTACATCAAAATCAAAAAATGATTATTTTATGCCTAAAGCTCAAGGTAAATTACACTGCTCCGAGTAAAAGTCACCTGAGTTCACCAACATACTGCCTTGTACTTTAAAATTTTTCACTCTCAACAATTAAGATGATACTGACCTTATCTGGGAAAACCAACTCCGTCAACGAAATCCTGCCCAGTATATCACAATGTTTCACCCATGGCCAATGATGTATTTTAAATTTCAAAGGCAGCAGCCGATAGCTGTGCAAATCGTGTAACGCTTTCGAATCCGAGTCTTTTCTTACAGGAAGGACATTTATGGAAGTTTACTGTAGGACTCAATTGCACAACTCAGTTAAATGTTCTTTTTGAGACTACCGAAGACGGCATATACCCTTTAATCCGAAAGTCCTGAAAAACAAAATGCTTCTGTCAAACTTTTAACACCGAGCGTTTGCCGCAAGTGGAGACCAACGTGGACCTCGACCTTCCGCCATCTCTCCAGGAGACCATCAGGGCCGTGCAGCAGCTCTCCAGCGGGAAAGCACCCGGATCGGACGCGATCCCTGCTGAGGTCTACAATCACGGAGGTCCCCAACTAATGGATCACCTGACTGCGCTCTTCCAAGAGATGTGGCGTCAAGGTGAAGTCCCGCAAGATTTCAAAGACGCAACCATCGTGCATCTCTACAAGCGCAAAGGGAATCGCCAAGTCTGCGACAATCACCGCGGCATCACCCTGCTGAACATCGCCGGGAAGATCTTCGCACGAATCCTCCTCAACCGCCTCAATAACCATCTGGAATAGAGCCTTCTGCCGGAAAGCCAATGCGGCTTCCGTCGTCATCGTGGGACCACGGATATGATCTTCGCCGCCCGTCAACTTCAGGAGAAGTGTCAGGAGATGCGGACCCACCTGTACTCTACCTTCGTGGACCTGACGAAGGCCTTCGACACGGTGAATCGTGAAGGACTGTGGAAGATCATGCAGAAATTCGGCTGTCCGGAGCGATTCACTCAGATAGTGCGTCAGCTGCACGACGGTATGATGGCGCGAGTCACGGACAACGGAGCTGTCTCAGAGGCATTCGCAGTGACCAACGGAGTGAAGCAGGGCTGCGTACTGGCGCCTACCCTCTTCAGTCTTATGTTCTCTGCCATGCTGATGGACGCCTACCGTGATGAACGTCCCGGGATCCGCATCGCCTACAGGACGGACGGTCACCTCCTGAATCAACGGCGGATGCATTTCCAATCGCGCGTATCCACAACCACCGTTCACGAACTCCTCTTCGCCGACGACTGCGCCCTAAACACCACCTCGGAAGAGGAGATGCAACGGAGCATGGACCTGTTCTCCGCCGCCTGCGAGAATTTCGGTCTGGTCATTAACACGCAGAAGACGGTGGTGATGCACCAACCACCACCCAACTCAGCCACAGCCCCCAACGCGCCGCCGCAAATCAGCGTGAACGGAACCCAACTGCAGGTGGTGGAGAACTTCCCGTACCTGGGCAGTACTCTCTCCCGCAACACCAAGATCGACGGCGAAGTCGCCAACAGGATCTCGAAAGCCAGTCAAGCCTTCGGTCGCCTCCAAAGCACAGTTTGGAATCGCCAGGGTTTTCAGCTGAGCACGAAGCTGAAGATGTGCAAGGCCGTCATCCTGCCGACACTACTGTATGGAGCGGAGACTTGGACGGTGTACGCAAAGCAGGCACGTCGTCTGAACCACTTCCACCTCAGTTGTCTTCGTCGCATCCTGAGGCTAAAGTGGCAGGATCGAATCCCCGACACTGATGTGCTGGAACGGACGGGAATCCTCAGCATCTACGCCATACTGAGGCAAATGCAGCTGCGCTGGAGCGGCCACCTGGTGCGCATGGACGACGAGCAACTACCCAGACGACTCTTCTACGGAGACGTCGAGACGGGTTCTCGCCGTCAAGGAGGCCAGATTCGCGCGCCCAAGAATACCTCTTCATTCAAACAACGTCACACAGTTTCGTGTCGCCAAAACGGACGCACATAGACAGACCATTTCGGACTCCCTACAGTCTGAAATTTAAACACTCTTCCAAGTCCGAATGTTTCGCGTTAGACGACTGAGATTCACAAAATTGCGACTACTCAGCACAGCCAAGGCTACGGAAACAAGAAGTTTGTCCTGCGCAAAAGGATGCTTCAATGGAAAGAACTATGTGGTTGTAGTTAAATAAGGTGGGCTATGAAGTGTAACTCTGCCGAATGACAGGACGACGTCCATGAATGCGCCAACTAACATTCCAGTAGATGCCCTCATGTCAGGATCTGAGCCAGGATTGTTGGGATCATGTCTCCAGTCACAGATTTTGAAGTGGCCTGAGAACGATAGGGGCAGTGAATTCCTCTGCGACCTCGATGAGACTTATGCCGCGGTGTTTTGTTTTCTTTTTTGATATGGGGCGAGCTTGGCCGGGCCCCAATAACCAAGAACAGTTGTGTTCCTTCACGCTCATGCATTGAATACTGCCACTAGGCTATCAGAGCTTTGACAAAAGACTTGTAGACTTGAGTGTAGTTGACGTCTAGTCCGCGCGCCTTGGTGTTTTGTAACCTCAGAAATTCGACTGTGTTTCCCTCCGGAAGGGCGGATTATAGTTCGTTGTTGGGTTGGAAGAAATAGCGGTGGGTTGTCTTATATCCCCAATTAGTATGACGCCAGTTCTGTGCGGAATAGAAGACAGACAGGATAGGAGAGAACAGCTTTACTGCGTCAGTCACCCTGCGTACATCAACTCTTAATCCTTCCGTCCGTGGCTTCGTATTTAAGGGTTCAGCCTTCGTCTTGTTTGCGTGTTCCTACTGGTCCAGTCCGGAGCGCCTGCATGGGCAGGCGTTCGCGTATGACTCAGCGGCGTGCAAATGTCTGGCTCGCATGCGGGCTTCCTAGGCGAGGATGTCCGGCGAGTTTGCGGTTCTTTGTTAGGCGTGACCCCCGGACGACTGGAACGGTGCGTCGTGTTCTGGGCCGTCCTAACAGGTTGATAGTCATATTTGATATTACGTACAAAGTCACCCAACCAGAATGCGACCTTGATCAAGTCTTAAACAAGCAGACCAATTTTCATATCGCAGTCAAGCCGTTCAGGGTACCAACCAATCGGTCGGCCGAAATGGAAACCGTCATGGTGTCCCCTCGGATAGGCACACTGGCAGCGAAGATTGCATTCGCACAGTGATAGACATCTTCATGCTCCATCGGAAAGTCTTAAAGAAAGTAATTTCATACACTGGGTATACGTCTATCAAGTTAGGATCCCATGCCTACTGATGAAACCATCTTTAAACTTCAGACGGTTGCTCTGCCTAAAAGTGATGTGATCGATGGAAACAAGTACCCAAGCCAGACGGAGGTGAGTCGTCTTCCGCCGTCTAAAATGCAGTTTTATGGAATGGAAATGGGTTGGAGAAACCAGTTGACAAATAAACGGGCTGATGCAGGAGAGTTGTGGAGGTTAAATTGGAATTCAAAAGTGTCGACTAACATTTCATGACTGAACATAATTTTGACACTAGTAAGGTCAAGATCGCGCCACAAGTCAGAAAACAGCGGCATGAGTATCGCACGTTTACTCTACTAACTGGCATATCCAGCTTCCTCAAGACTTTAGGACCGTAAATAACAGCATGCATGCGGAGAAACGCATCAGGGTGCGGCAAACACAACGCCCATCCAAATGAAAGGCCAAATTTCACGACTGAAACGGGCAGTTGCCTTGGGATCCATAGGCCAAGCCCACCGGCAGCAAACTGCTCAATTTCAAGGAAGCGCTAGGACGCAAAGTGACGCGCACAGAGATGATATCATACTTTGATGATGAACGGTTTCATATTTCAGTCGAACCGTCCGACCTAATGCAGTGGTGACCCCCTCCTCTCCACTTATATTACCTGAAAATTATAACCTCCTATGTGCAGTACTACAACCGCTCTCGTACCTTGAACAGCTTAGTTATGTAAGTTTACAAAACTGATTCACATGTAACGTACATCCGAGATGTTTCGTCCGCAGCTATATGTTGACATGTGCACATAATGTGCCTAAATCGGGACTCGCGATATGTGCGCTGGAACATAAAGGAGACTAGACAGGAGTCTGCGGGCGTTATCGTCATGCGGCTGCATCCTATAAATATTGCAGTCCTTGGTGCATAAACTACTCGTATCTGATACTGACCCGATATTGGGTTCGAGCAGGGATCCTAAACTAAAGACGAATAAAGTTCTTGCTCCAGAGATCTTATATTCGCAAACAAGTCGCTGTCCTGCTCTCCCCACGCAGTGGAGCACACGGTGAACCTGTCGGTGGGCGCACTGTTTTAGTGACAGAATTGTCGCTTCAGTATTGCTTATTTCTGATTTTTTCTGAATGTTTTCATGATTTTCAGCAATGACTTAAAAAAATTGGGTTCCTTTATTTTTTAACTAAAGATTGTCTTCCACATTAAATTCGGCATCTAGTTTTGGCAATATCATATTTCTTCAAGCAGCGGAAATTGCGAGAATTGTTGAGCAACATGTAGGATTTCCGTCCGACCTACATCTGACTGGGATGGTAATTCCACTGACAGCATGCCACAAAATCAATGTCATCAGGGATGTACGTGTATTGGCGCATAACCTAGATACCGGTCAACAGCACTGCTGTTAGCGGGAAAACGAGTTCAAAGAAAGGACATAAAGACTACTGTCTGAACTGCATGTTTGCTAAGATCTTCACAAAGGCGGCATGCGCCTTT